CCATGAGTGTCATTACTACTACGTCTGCTACTGCGACTACGACTACTTCTATATTGTTTACAACTACTACAACAACTACTACTACTTCGACTAGTCGTACTATTACTACGACGACTAATACATTATTATTACTGCTGCTGCTACCACTACTATTTCGATTACGAGCGCTACGAGTATCAATAGTATTACTACTTTAACGAGTATTACCGTTACTATTATGACTACTACAACAAGTATCACCACTATTACGACGACTACGACTACTACTACTACTACTACTACTACTACTATTACTATTGCTAATATTGTTATTGCTACCACTACTGGTACTTCTCCAACCACTCCTACCACTACTACTACTACTACTACTACTACTACTACTACCGTTCCTGCTACTACGTCTATTACTACTACTACTACCCACTACGACGACTACGATTAGTATTATTCGTATTACGACTACGCCTGCTACTACTACTGCTACTACTACTACTACTACTACTACTACGACTGCTACTACTATTTCTACTTCTTCTATTCCTACTACTACTACTTCTACTACTACTACTACTACTACTACTACTACTATTACTACTACTACTACTACTACTCCTACTACTACTACTACGACGAATACCCCTACCATTACTACTACCACCACCTACCACTACTACTACTGCTGCTGCTACTACTACTACTACTACAACTATTAATACGACTACCACCAGTACCAGTACTACGACTACAAGTGCTACTGCTACTACGACTAGTCCTACTACTACTACTACTACTACTACTACACTACTAGTACTACTACTACTACTACTACTACTACTACTACTGCTTTTACTACTACTACTACTACTACTACTACTACTACTACTACCACTACTAAGATTATTACTATCATGATTACTACTACGACGACTACTACTACTACTACTACTACTACTACTCCGACTACTACTACTGCTACTACTACTACTACGACTACTACTACTACTACTACTTCTACTGCTGCTACTACGATTGCTCCGACTACTACGAATTCGACCACCACTCTTATTATTATTACTATTACTATTATTACCACTACTACCACGACTACTACTACTACTACTACTACTACTACTACTACGACTAGTACTACTATTACTACTACTACTACTACTACTACTACTACTAATAATACTTCTGCTCGTAATACTACTACTACAACTACTAGTACTATTACAAATACAATGTTGACGACCTCTAATTTTTCCACCACGATTACGACTACTACCACACTTCTCACTTGCAGTATTACTATCACGTTTACTACTACTCCTACTACGACTACTACTACTACTACTACTACTACTACTACTACTACTACTACTACTACTACTACTACTACTACTACCTACTACTACCTACTACGACTACTACTACGACTACGACTACCACCATTATTGCTACTACTACTACTACTACTACTACTACTACTACTACTGCTGCTACTACTACTACTACTACTACTACTAGACTACTACTACTACTACTACTACTACTACTGCTACTATTACTACTACTTCTACTACTACTGCTGCTGCTACTACTACTACTACTACTACTACTACTACTGCTGCTGCTGCTGCTGCTACTGCTGCGACGATTTCTACTCCTACAGTATGACTAATGCATCTTCGAATACTGCTACCACTGCGATGATTTGTACTTCTACTGCTGCAACTGCTACTGCAACTGCCACTCACCGCCAGCAAACGACTCGCGGGTCCTTGCCACCGTCCGCACCATATCCCCCATTGCTGCCCCAGCACCATTGTCCTCACCACCAGTGTTCCCACTGTCCCCACTGTTCCCACCACCGTCCCCACTGTCCCCACCAGTGCCCCCACCACTGTCGCACTGTCCCCACTGTCCCCACCATTTTTCCCACCACGATCCCACGGACCCAACCATTGTCCCACTGTTCCCACCACTGTCCCACTGTCCCCGCCTCTGCCCCGCTGAGCTGTCCCACTGTTCGCATCACTGTCCCCACTGTCCCCACCACTGTCCCCACTGTACCTCTGTCTCATTGTCCCACCGCCGTCCTCGCCACCGCCCTCACCACTGTCCCCACAACCACTGACTGTACCCTCCACTGCCCCACTGTTTCCACTACATCCCCACTGTCCCCACAGCATTGTCCCCACCACCACCGTCCCCACCACTGCCCCACTGTTCCCACGATTGTCCCCGCTGTCCCCACCAGTGCCCCCACCAGTGTCTCACTGTCCCCACTCTCCCCACCATTGTCCCACCACGGTCCCACTCTCCCCACTTCCCCCACGGTCCCCACCACTGTCCCACTGTCCCCACTGTACCCACCACTGTCCCACTGTCCCCGCCGCTGTCCCACTGTGCTGTCCCACCGTCCCCACTGTCCCCATCACTGTCCCACTGTCCCCATGTCCCCACCACTTTCCCCACTGTACTACTGTCCCACCACTGTCCTCACCACCGCCTTCACCACTGTCCCCACCACTACCGTCCCCACCACTGTCCCACTGTCCCCACCACTGTCCCGCTGTCCCCTCACCACTGTCCCCACCACCACCGTCCCCACCACTGTCCGCACCACTGTCCCACTGTCCCCGCACCATTGTCCCCACCACCACCGTTCCCACCTCTGTCCCAGCATCCCCACCATCGACCATTCTCCAACTGTCCCGAGGAGCGGGAATCGTTTGCCGGCGGCGAGGGGGGGGAAAGGGGGGGGGTCGAAAAGGGAGTGACCACCCCCGGTTTTCGAGGGGAGGGGGGTTCGAACTGGTAGTGACCCCCCACCCCCCCTTTTCATGATGGATTGGGGGGGTTCGAACCGGTAGTGACCCCCTCCCGGTTTTCGAGAGGGGGAGGGGGGGGGACGGGTTGGGAACCCCCAGTGACCCCACCCCGGTTTTCCGCCAGCAGTGGTAGACCACGCCCTTTCATATGTATATATATATACATACATTATGTATGTGTTTGCTGCTTTTTCATTTAAAATTGCTTACCACAAGAAAAAACGTGAGTGCTTCCAGCCGGCCCCATACGCTCCCCACACGGCCCACGAGGTCTCCCAAGGTGTTCTGGGGGCGTCCGAGAGACCTTGGGCACGGCTCAAGACAGCTGGAAGACGGCCTAAGAGGACCCCAAGACTCCCCGACCGGGCCCCAGGAGGACCCCCATGACGGCCACCAAAGGCAAAAGTCATTGATTGCTCAACTTGTGAAGGAATTTGGGAGTCCTCGCCTGTCCGGGCTTCTCAACATCCAAGACAGCCCAAGAGGCTTACCATATTGGCCCAAGAGGATCCCACGACGGGCCCAAGGCGGGCCAAGAGGGCTCCGACGGCTCAAGATGGCCCCAAGACGCCCCAAGAGAGGTTCCAAACGGCCCCAGCGAGGCCCCATGTGGCCCACGAAGGCCCCCAGACAGCCCAAGATGGCCCCAAGGCGGCATCGAGAGACACCTGCGACAGTGCAGAGGCACTGCAGACGGGGGAACGGGCCCCAAGGTGGCCAAATCGTCCCCCTGGACGGCCCCAAGAGGGCCCCCAGCAGCGAAAGTAGCTGATGCGACTTAAGATATTGAGCGATGTCAGTTCTCACGTCCCAAGTCCCCTTGACGGCCCCAGAGGACCACAAGACGCCCGTAAGCACGCCTCAGAGACCCCGCACGGCAACAGCGCTAGAGGGTCCCGAGGATTCCTTGGAGGCGTTTGAGACGCCCGGAGACAGCCTTGGAGGCCCCTCAGACGCTTCGAGAAGGCCCAAAGAGGACGCTCAAGACGGCCCCCAGAAGCGAAAATGAATGTATGATGTCCGATGAGTTTTTGCATGAAGTTGGTAATGACGCAATTTCTTGCTCATTGAACCCCAACTCGGCCCAAGAGGCCCCCCAAACCGGTTGATGATGGCCCTAGAGAGCTCCAAGACGCCCCCAAGCACGTTTCAATAATTCCCCACACTTCCGAAAACCTCACAAGATGCCACACCTCCCTCGGCGAAGAAGGGGAGAAGGAGTAGCAGGAGAAGAAGCAGGAGGAGGAGGGACAACGGAGAAGTCAGAGACCTCTGTGCGACTCCAGATAATTAGAGCATGTGGGTTGTATTTTGTGTTGCAGATTGGTTTGGCCATGGAAGACATGCTTTGAGCAAGAGAGCGTGCCCTTCTTGAAGAAGTCTCCGCGGATCCAGACGTCCGGATTTCGAATGCGCCCATTCGGCCTGAGGTCACACGATGGCCAGATTGATGCCGAAAGGGCAGCGTGCAGTTCGCTGTAGCCGAGCTGGAAAAGATCCGCTGGAGCGTTGCTTCAGCGCACCCTCGGTGCGTGGACTCCGCTCCACCGAGTTTTGAGCAAGACGCACCCGGCCGTGGTTATCTCTTGAAACGGCTGGCAAGTGCGAAGCGACACCCTAACATGTATTTTGGTGTGTCGAAGCAAAGAGTGGCGGACAAATTCTCGTCATCAAGCTCAGGCGCAGCCTCCACCGACGATCGACGATCGCGCGGCCGATCGATGGTCGCAAACCTTTTTGGTATCTTCCCCAATCTTGGGGAGGGGAAGGGCCGCGCGGGACAGCGTGAGGGCCCCGTTTCTTTCGGCAGTGCCGTGGGCGGTGGGCCACAAGCGCACCTCGGTGGCTTTCTCCTCCCGCTCAGCGTTGCGGCCAGACGGGGCTTCTCGCGCCTTCCCTTGACCTGCTACGGCGGAGAAGACAGGAAACCAGAGGCCCGCCCCCACATACAATGGGCGCCTCAGGTCAGGAATCAGCATGTCAGCAGGTGCACCATGGAAATGTCCTATCCCCCGATGGCCTTGGGGCCCCGCAGAAGCTTCGGCACCTTACGAAGCCCAGAGACCGTCGGCGAGCGTGCCCCAAGAGTTCGTATACCGAGATTTCGGATCATGTGTGCTGTATCTACTATATACCTCAGACTCTTCCCCACATCGCCAATCCGAGGACACCGGTGGGTCGCCAACTGCAGCAGCAGCGGCCGCAGCAGCGGCCAGCGCCAGCAGCTGCAGCGGTGTTGAAGCAGCAGCCGCTGAAGACGCAGCGGCTGGCGGCAGCGCCAGCAGCAGCGGCGCGCCACGGATGCCGCAGCTGCCACAGGCTTTCTTAGGGCACGAGCACGACTGGCACGATTGAGACGACAGCGAGGGGCCCCCAAACGGTGCGTGGGAATTCGGGGTGACCGCACGGTTTTGCGACTTGGGTCGTTCTCTGAGGACGTCTCGGGCGACCCGGGCCTCCAGAGTCCCAAAACCGCAAGATGACGGATGACGGACCGTGGTGTCAGATCTTCAAAGATTCCGAGGTCACTGCACGGTCTGTCACCGCGCAGCTTCGGACCCTCGAAATAGTGGCGGTTTGCGCGGAGAGGTGTCCGTCGAAGTCGGGCCCCATGCGAACGTCACGACGACGCACTGGTGCCTCAAGGGACATGCTCTCTCGCGCGGCACGTCCGTTGATGCGCCCGTGGCGGCCTTGGAGGTTGTGATGACGACGATGACGGCGTGATGGCGGTGACGATCATGACGACAACGTTGACCGTGCCAGTGGTGGAGGGGCTATGCCGTCGGCCCGTCTGTCCGGCATGGTCGGGGGGCCCAGTGTCTTTCTCCGCCGCCGCTTCGCTGCCTCCCTTCTCCCTGGGATTCGGAGCTTGCCTTTGTAGGGGTCCTAGCGGATTCATATGGTTAGGTTAGGTTTGTCGCCGGTTTTCGCTGCACGCCCGGGTGCCCGGGTGCCCGGGGGTGCCCGGGGCATGGGTGCCCTTGGGGGGCCCGGGGGGGCCCGGGGGCCCTATAGCCCTAAGCCCTATAGCAATAGCCCTATGCCCTACAACTCTATAACCCTATAGCTCTATAGCCCTATAGCTCAATAGCCCTGTAGCCCTATAGCCCCCTAGCCCTATAGCCCTGATTTGGGTTTTTCTCCGGTATCATTTATATACAATCTATATATCATTAAAGTAATGTTGACATGTTTTGTTTTTGTATATATACTACTTTTTACTACCACTACTACTACTACTACTACTACTACTACTACTACTACTACTACTACTACGACTACTACTACTACTACTACTACTACTACTACTACTACTACTACTACTACTACTACTACTACTACTACTACTACTACTACTACTACTACTACTACTACTACTACTACTACTACTACTACTACTACTACTAACGACAACGACAACGACAACGAACAACTACATCGACATCGACAACAACGACAACGACAACAACAACAACAACAACAACAACAATTACTAGCACGTGGGGACACTCCGTTCTCACCAGTGCCAGGGTTTTCATAGGAGGCGGGCAATACCCCCACTTTGTGGGGGGGCCGGTTCAAGCTCTACCAAATTTCCAAACGACTCTTCGCCACCACCCACACCCAGCTTCCCGCCCTATGACGTTCGGACACTTCACTTCGTGGCATGCGGACGACCGTGGCTACTATTCAGGGCCCCGCGGCCGACGACGACGGCGTGCGCGCGCGAAGAAAAAACGAATGTGTCCCGCATGGTATTATTTGACAGGGATGATGGCCCTGGCAGGTGCGCAACCGTTGTTGCAGAAGTTCGAAAAAGTTGCTCGGAAAAGCCCATTTGACAGAAATGTTTAAAAAGTGTTGGGTTTCCGACAAATCCGCAAGAGCGCGCGGGATGAAATTTTGACACTTGTTTTTTGAAAGAAAAAAAAAACCATTGGTTTTTTGATGTTTTTATGTTGAAATCGCTACGAACACTAAGGTTTTGGAAGGATTTCGTATTGCGCGCGCGAATGTCCACTTTACTTTATTTTTTGCAAGGGATTCTTGAAGTTTGGTTATGTTAGAACAAGAAATGTCCACTTTAGCTTTTTTTTGCAAGGGAAAACGGGGGACAACAAAACAACCGGATCCGGACACCCACGTTTTGCCTGAGACTTCCTCACGAAAATGATGAAAATGTGGCTGCGGCCTAGGCGCGGCGAGGGGGCCGCGCACCAGGGGTCCCAACAATAATTATTCTTTCGAATAAATAATGTTCAACAACAACAATAACATTAACAACAAAACGATGCCAGAGGGGCGATGCCCATACTGATGGCGATGACGGCACCGCTCGACGGGCAGGTGAAAACGAGGGCGGGGCGCTGCCACGCGTGGCCGGGCGCTGCCGCGCAGAGCTGCCCGCCCGCCCCGGCAGCGCGCTCGGGCCTCTGGGCGCGCCTCCCGCCCGGCCGTGGAACCTCCCGCCCCCCTTCCTGCGGGCGGCGAAGGCTCGGAGGGAGGAGCAGCGGCGTCAGCACCACCAGAGGGGGCCACCTCCGGCGAGGAGGTCCACGAGCCCTCCCCGAGCTGGAGGCTGGGGGTGTCTCGAGCGAGAGGGGGGGGGACCACACCGCCAGGGAGACCCCCTTTGCTCCTCGCGTCTCCTCGCCCTGGTGGTGTTGGAGTCGCCTTTCCTTCTTCCTAGATGACTGGGGGGGCGATTCATGTAGGAAGTCCAGGGTTCGCCAGGGGCTGGTTTAGCCAGGGTTCATCAGGGCCTCCCGCCGCCTCCTCGGGCGACGACGAAGGGGGGGGCGATGAGAAGTTTAGCAGAAAGTCCAGGGCTCGCAAGGGACCGTTTTAGCCAGGCTTCTTCAGGGAGCGATCCCCTGGAGGGGCCCTACAGGGCCCTGGGGGCCCCTTCGAGCCCGAAAAGGGCACCTTTCTCCCCCCCCCTTGATCATCGCCACCCCCTGACCGGGTGTTGCTAGGAGTGCCTCTGGCCCAAGGTGCCAAGGACGTCCCCACGACCTCCAGAGAGCCCCCCACAAGGCCCAAAGGGCCCCAGGGACTCCAAGGTGAAGCGAGAAGCTGGGAGTACCTTGGGCTAGGGGCACCTTTGGCAACCCCCGATTTTCATCCGCGCCCAGCGCTCCCCTGGTGGGCCCGGGTCTGCGCAGACGCGCCCCCTCAGAGGCCGCGAGAGCTCGCAGGAGGGCGCTCACACAAAAAAAACCTGCGGCATCGAGCGCGCCAGCCCGCGCGAGCAGAGCGCGGCCGGCCCAGCCCTTGGGGCCGCGAAGCGCCTCTCGCCTCTCGTCTCCTCCGCGTCTCTCTGGTGCTCCTGGTTTGGGCGGGAGGTTTTTGGCCGTTCTCGGCCTCTGGGGGCTTCGCTGGGCCTCGGGAGCGTCAGAAACCGACTCAGGACGAAAAACCGGCCCTAGGGGAGTGGTCCGGACCTCTGGGCCCACGCACGCACCGGAAAAATAATCGAGCAGCCGGACATCTGGGAAGTGAAAGGAGAAGGCCTTCTCAGAAGGCGGCGGGGCTTCTCAGACGCCCGCGCGCCTCCCGCGAAGTGTTCTGCGGCGTCTGCGCGGGAGGCCCTGGCAGCTTCTCGGGAGGCCGAGGGAGTTCCGAGCCTTCCGAGAAGGCCCGCCCCCTCGCCTTTCACCCCCTGGGCAGCGCCGCCGACGCAACTCTCGCCTCGCCTCCTCCGCGTCTCTCGAGCTCTCGGCTGCCCTCCTCCCCTCTCGGGCAGCGAGCTCCCCTTGGCCCCCGCTCCCCCCCCCCCTCCCCCGGGCCTTGGCCCTGTTCAGGGCGCGAGGCGGCGCTGCGCCTTCGGGAGGCGCCTGCGCCTCCCTCTGCAGTGCCGCTGCACGGTCTCTCGACGAGCTGAGGGAGTGGGGTCTCCTCTGCGGTCAGCCCGCGCAGTAAGGATGGGCAACCTTCCCAAGGGTACCCACTGCATCCGTGCCCTTTCGGCGCCTATCCTCGGCGACATTCGCTGGCCAACCCCGTTCGAAGAGACGCTAACATGGGCCCCCAAGGCCCCTGCATCCTTACCGCGCGTCCTCATGATACGGGTTGACTGTTTCCCCTCGATTGTCTCCCTTCACTCAGTCGCCTGGCCAACCTCGTTCGAAAAACGTTAACATGGGCCTCCAAGGCCCGAGCATCCTTACCGCGCATCCTTCTGGTACGGGTTGACTGCAACCCCTCGGCTTGCACTGCTTCCCCTTGCCCGGCGCCTCGCGCCTGCCGACGCGGTCTGTTTGGCCGGCGCTCCGGCCCCCCGCACGCTTTGTAGTGCCACTGCATCGCTGCCACGCTGGAGCGGATCGCCCCGCCCCGCCGCCGACGAAAAGAAGTGACCCCTCGGCGGTCTCCCCTCACATCGTGGCCGCCGCCGCCTCGCCTGCAGCCTGCTGGCTGGCTCGCTCGGTGGCTCGCCCCCCTCTGACTCGTGCGGGCAGCCCGGCGCAGGCTCGGCACCTCTCCCGCGCCAAGGGGGGGGGCCGGCGGCGGCGGAGGGGAGGCGCCCGCGCCGGAGCAGCCCGCCCCGGGGGCCCAAGAGGGCGCAGGGGGGGCCCGGCGTGTGAGCGCTTCGTTCCTCCCCGGAGTAGCGCTCGTTACTGCAGTGGAGGCCCATGCCAAGAAACATCCTGCTTGCCTCCAGGGTGCCCTGGGCTTCTTGGGCGTAGATGGTTCTGCGGTGGAAGGCGGAAATCCGTGGACGTCCTGGGGTGTCAGGGTTGGGTTTCTTATGGAAGGTTTCTTGTGGACTGGCCTCCACTGTACCCTCCCGCCCGAACCCCCCCCCTCTCCCCCCGAGTAACGACCGTTACCCAGGAAAGAAAAATTATCAGCCACGCGCAGAGGGGGGTGGGGGGAGGGGGGAGGGCTTCTTAGAAGCACCCCTGCTTAGAAGGCGCGGGCCTTCTCTATAGACGCAAGGCCGAGGCCTGCTAAGAAGCAGGGTGCTTCTAAGAAGCCTTCCCCCCCTCCACCTACCCCCTTTTGCGCGCCGCCAAAATTCAACGGTCGCCGTCCAGTCCCTCAGGCAAGCCACCGAGCGTGCCATTCATCTCCGCGTGTCCTCGCGACGGCTTGCGGGTCAGCGGCGGGGGCCCCACGCCAGAGCCACCGGGGCCCAGGGAGGCGAGGACGGGCGCCCTGGCCCATGCTGCTGCGACCTCTGCGGGCAAGGCGAGCCTTGCTTTCCGGGTTCGCGCATGCCCCCCCGCACGTT